TTATCATGTTACTACTCTTCTGTGAAGGTGACCAGGATGTTTGCCACCACCCAAAACACAATGAACAATGCAGAATTTACCAAGATTTATGCTGGTTGGCATGTCAGCCATGGCATTCACTTTTACTGTTTCCATAGTAAAACTTAACATTAGGATTACATCTTCAAAACTGTGTATTTTTACATGGTACTGCAAGTAAGCATTGTGACTGGAACTTACTCCATCATCTTAGGTGTTAAAGCTACTAAAGAATACATCTAGGATTCTAAAACACATGCCATCCCTAACACCAGATTTCCTACACAATTCTCTCAAGAGTCACACATGAGCAGCTGCATTCACATATTAAAATACTACAGGTTCATATCAGGACAGCTGCTTTGTTAAGATACGAAACACTCACTCTGGGTTGTAACTGTCTGTATTGCTCACCTCACTTTCACTAAGACCTCTGGTTGGTTTTGCTAAATAGACAAATATGTAAGAACTTACAGAAACAAATGAGATGCAGAACATCTCCTAAAGGCAGCAGAAGCATTAAAGAGAGATTTATGGCCCTGTTCCTTTCTTCCAGCTGCCATTAGTCCTGCCCCTCTGCTGTGATGGACTGCCACTGTGACCAGCTGGAACTCAGAGCTGGTTTGCTCCATGAAGCCACTTGCTGGGATAACCACATTCCAGCTAAGCATTAGGAACCATCACCCAACCCAGGAGCTGCTAACTTGTTACTGCAACACAGAAAGCAAGACCTGGACTAACTTCAGCTGGCTACCAAGCTGCTGATCACCTGCTGTTTCTTTGGAGATGGGCTTCTAAGTTCATCATAGTGATCACAGGCATGACAGGTACCATAAGCCTTTTTTTTTGGCCTTTATGCTAGCCTAGAAGCACTTCTCACCTAGTCAGCTGGAAAGTTCAATGCAGGGCAGAAAAATCTGTGTTGCCACCATCAGACTTGAACTAAGATGCTCATCACAACTCACTACTCTTCCCAACTTGTAACAGTTCTGAGCAACCTGGTTTACATAAATCACCGTGCCTTTGTTTTGCCAACTTCCTCAAGCTACTTGGAAAACAGAAGTTTTAAAATCCATAAACAGCAGAATTAGAATATGGCTTGGAAGCAACCTCTGTAGATTATCTACAAAACAAGTAGAACTTCAAATTTGTATCCTCTCAGGCTGCTCTGGACCTTGTTGAATCTAAAGGCTGTATGGATGAAGACTTCATGGCCCTTCTGGGCTCTTGATCCATAAGCGGGGCTGACTGCTACATTAAGACATTAATTCCCTCATAACCTACTGAAACTTCCATTTTTATCTCTTGCAGCCATTGATTCATTCAGAGGGGCAAGTGGCTCCATCACCTCTCTAACCCCTTGCTTAAAGCTGGTAAAATGCAGCTGGTAAAGTGTTCTCCCTCAGGTCCAGTCCTTTGTGCACCCTCAGGTACTCAAGCTCCCACCCAGGTGCAGAATCCAGGGCTGGATTCCCCCTCGTGTCTCTCCCACAGCGGGGGTGTGTGTGACCCCAGCAGCCCTGCAGGGAAGTGTCACAGCTGGGAACAGATCCTGCTGCTCAGGCCCTGCCCCTGGCAGCCCAGGCTTTCATCACCCTTCAGGGCAGCAGGGGCACAGAGCTGACTCCCACCCAGCAGGAGCCCCAGCTCCTCTTCTGCAGCAACCAACAGCTGAAGAATCATTTTCATTTTATAAACATGGGCAATTCCATTACTTATGAGATTCCAGTAGGAAACAGGATACCCCCTGCTCATCATTCTTATTTCACAAATATCGAAACACCAGACTTGAGACATTTGAGACATTTCAACTTTTGTTCAGCAGACAATGAGAAAGGTAAATGCTTGAATGGATACAGACTACAATAATGGAACACTTTAACCATAGTTCACAGGACAAAGAATAAATAAATGTCTGAGTTAAGACATTTTCCTGCACACTATATAAATATATATATATATCTATATAATGAAAAAATTCTTAATATAGCATCAGTAAAGTAAGGGAAGATTGTCAGAGTTGTGTGCTTGTCTTCATTTTCTTAAACACTCAAAAATCAATAATTACAGCAAACAAGCTGTCCAGTAGCACTGCAGAATCAATGTGTGCCCTTTTGGTTAAAGTGTACACACAAATGAGCTTATATACAGTATTTGCTTTGTTACCAACACAAGTGACCATTGAGCTGAAGTATATTTTTCTGTCAGTCCTCATTTTACCATTAGTCTGCAATATTCAGCTAAGAATGATTAATAAGCATCCCATCTGTTCACATATCAAGTAGCATTTATCCAACAATAAAAATGACAGTATGGGCAACAATAGTTTTAGTATCAAGCTTACAGGCAATCAATTTGAAGAGGAAAAGAATCAAGAATTAGTCCTTAATAACTTAGAAAAAAATATCATTTAAGGAGAAATCTGTAGTTGTTAATTATAAGCTTGGCACACCAAGATCATTATCTGTTCACACACAAGAATACCTTAAAAAGTGTTTCAGAGTCCATGGCAAAACTGTGGTGAATTTCACAGCAGGCAAGCAACATAAGTAGGCTCAACTGGATTTTTAAAGAGCTTTCAAATGCCAAGACATCTTTCCATAACATAAACGGAAGCCTGTTTCTGCAGCTTTTGAATTAAGGACTAAGGGATTTCTTAAAGGAACCATTTACAGCAATAAACATTTAGCCTTTATTAAAAAACAACAAGGCTCAAAACAAGATTGGTCTAATTTCCAAAGTGGAACACTGTATATAGAGAAAATAACAAATACAGTAAAACTCTATACATACAGAGCCCTTTTGTTGTCAAGGAGAGGGATTGGGAGGGTGGGAAATGAAGGTTAAGAAATAGCACTCCATACTTTTCAGGAGACTATTAAAAAGGACATATATATTTGTCCAGAATGCTGGATCAATCTTCAGAAATGAGGAGCTAAATGTGTAGTTTCCATGCACCTTTTAAACAATGAGCATCCAAATAATTTAGGCAGCTGAGGAAGGATGAAAAGAAAACCAAGACATACATATATAGTAAATACCCATTTCAGGCAAATAACAGGCAAAAAATAAATCCAGTTGTTACCATCCTGAAACATTTATTCTTTAATATTTGCATAACAATTCTACCCAAGGCATTTGCAAAGAAGCTTACACCTGCACACCTAATAAGCCACCAAAAGACTTGGTCCTTAAAGAGCAGAGTTAAAAGTAAAAATACAAAATCCACACACAACAGGCAACTTTATTTCTGCCTAGAACACACAGTCCAAAAACTACAGGACCTGGAACCCTCTTAGATCACCTTAACAATATTTCTGATTTAGAAGTCTCCATGAAGTATATGGTAGCCTACAAGACTACACTGAAAGCTCATGCAAGCCACTGGTCCAGAAACCTTGGGAACTTTTGCAGTGGAAGACATTAAAATGCTTTGTTTCAGAGTACAAGTTTGTACATCCTCTGCAATTAGTTTTGGTTCAGCAGATACTTCTCTATTTCTCTTCTCCTATTGCACTTTTCCCCAGCTAGCCTTGAAAACCGTCAAGATCTGCAGGCAGCCTGCAATGTGTCTGGTGGTCCCTGCCCTGGCATCCCATGTTATGCATCCTCCCACCAAACTAGCCTGTATTACACATCTTTGAATCAAGTGGGGCGAAAATGGAAGATGGCTGTGCCAAGAGACTGCGATCAAAGCAGGGGACTATTTGAAATTCAACATTTTTATTAGCTACAATCAGAAGAATCAAGACCTTCGCTTCATTACATACAAGGAATGCTCAAGTCAGTGAAATCACTTTGACAGCACCCTTAAATAAGTTTGGCCCAGATTCATTTCATGTTACAGTTTAAACCATTTCCAAGTTATCTAACACACGGATGTACCCGCAGACACATACCGCCGCACGTCAGTTCCTATCCTGCCCTGCAAGTGCATTTGTTGGCACCTTCAGAACTGAGACCAGGTCTCACCTTACTGCAATACCATCTCCACACCTGTAAAGTCTCCACACCTGTAAGTAAAACCCAGCTGCAATGAGTAGGCTTGCTCAATTCCACATGCACATGCCCTAGGGCAAGTAATACTTTCCATCCCCGAACAAGCATAACACCCTTTGTGTTTGTATTATCAGATAGGCCAAAGCGTGTAGGATTTGTCGATTGCCTGAAAGCCTTCAGCAAGCCTGTTCTGTACAACAGTTCCGTTCAACACCACACCATATGTGCAAAACCATTATTGTAGCTAGGGAGTGGAACAAATAATCAAGTGGAATTTGTTTTTGTAGGTTAATAAAGAAGCTCAGATCAAACTTCAGCGATGGAACTGCTCCAGGTAGAAAGGCATAAAGAAACAGGAAGGAAAGCTGGACGTAACGACACAGAAATCAAAAGCAAAAGAAATACTGCAAAGGGACAGCTCACCCTTTGAAAGAAATTTAATAATTAAAAGGCAAAAGAACCAAAGACATTGCCGGTCACCGCCAGCCCGTGCATCTAGAGCAGTTACATTATCCCAGAGAAGTATCTTTTGCTTTAAGAGGCATTTTTAAGAACAAGGTCACGGTAGGGCTGCATTCCCACCACCCCGCCCTATAACGCTCCTTCCCCGAGGACGGAGCGGCCAGCCCGGCCTGCCCGGGTGCCCCCGCTCCCGGGAGGAGGAGGAGGAGCCCCGCGCCGAGCCTCCTGCCCCTCCTGCCACACCAACAAAGAGGTCCCCGCCATTATCCGCCCGCACCTCTCCCGGCCCCCCGGCCCCGAGCAGGCACGGGAGGTCCCCGGGCCGGAGTGCCCCGCACCGCCGCCCGCCCCCGGGCAAGGGCACGGCCGGCCCCGGCTCCCTTCCCGCTCGCCGAAACGTAAACAAAACCGCCCGACCCGGGCCGGGCCCCGCGGTGCGGCCGCTGTCCGCCCCGCCCCGGGACTGCGCCGCTGCCCTCCGCCCGCCGCCGCTCCCGAGGGCTGCCCCCGGCCCCGCTCACCGACCACCGCCTCCGGCCTCGGCCGCTGAGTAATGAGCCGGACCCGGGCCGCGCACAGGCTCCGCGCTCCGCCCGCCGCGGCTGCGGCTGCGCCGCCCCTGCGCTCGCCCCGCCCCGCCCGGCTCGGCGCTGCCCCGCTCCGCCGCCCGCCCGCCCGGGGCCCGGCGCCCAGCCCCGCCGCCTCCAACCCGCCCGGTTCCCGCTGCCCCCGGCCCCCGCCGCCCCCGGCCCGCCTGGCTCCCACCGCGTCCCTGCGGGGCTTTGGCGCCCCGGGCCCGCGCATCCCTGCTGGGAACCAGCATCGCTCTGCCTCCTCCGCGCCCTTTCCCTGGAGCTATTCCTTTCCTGGATTACGCCCGGTAGCCAGAGCTCTCTTCCTGCTGGGACTTTCATGAAATATTTGCATGTTTTCAGGCCTTTGCCCTGCGCTCCGTGCCAGTGGCTGGCACGCTCCCTCGCAGCCTGGCATGGGTGCCGCTCGCTGACACCGTTCAGGCCTTGGCAGCTCCCGCTTCCCGCTGCACGCCTGGCATGGCAGTGCTTTACCTCATCATTGAGCTTCTGGAGTGGTGTAACATCCTCTTGTTCTGTGTCTGGTTTAGTGCAGTTCTTCCTCTAAATCATTAGGGGAATTCTCTTGACTTTTTCATACCATTGCCTTTGGTTTCTGGCACCTGACATGAGTACTCTCTCTCCTTAGACTTTAAATATTTTGCTTTTTATTTTTATATAATTTTTTATATCATTGGGGGGGGGGGGTTGTTTGTTTGTTTTTGTTTTTCCTTTTCTTCAGGAAGGTCCCTGCTTAGAGACAAAAGGAGGCCACTCAGCAAGCTGCAGCAAGCCTTTGTATATTTTTACTGCAAAAAACAGGCCCTATGAGCAGTATTTAAAAATACATACAATCTGCCAGGTAGGCACAGGGTACTGTGAAAACAGACATTTCACGTTTAATTCACTGTCAAACATGTGGCCTGTGTAACATTTTTGAAGATGCCAATCTATCAAGATTTTTGTTGATGACAGCTTTTATCCCTCATTAATAAGCATAGACTTTTACATGTTAAAGGCAGTGCTTTAGAATATTCCCACTATCTTGGTGTTTAAAGGTTCACCTCCATAATTCTGTCCATACCTACTCATACACCCAATTTGGTGACACTACTGCATGCTGCCCTTAAAATTCTCCCTTAATTTAAGCAATTTCTTTCCATATGTTAAAGTGGTTCTTTCACAGATTTCCACAGGCAGATATATGAGGCCTCCTTTATATCTACACATGAAAAACCCCCAAAAACCAAAAACTAGTGTTCAGACTCTGCCACCAGTCCTCCTTAGGTGCCTCTGGGCTCTGTCTAAGACACACCTTCCACATTACCTCTGATCATTTCCGTGGGACATCCCCCAAACAGAATTAACCAACTTTTAGCTCCAAGGCTTTTTCTTATTGCAGTGTGTTAGATCAGAGCCAGACATTTCATTCCCTTCCATGTTTACATATGCCAACGGCAAAGTTCAGAAGGCACAAGGGGCAATATGAATGCCCAAAGTACACAGCAGGCAAAACTTTATCTGGATAAGTCATATTCATCTTGGCCAGGTAATTAGAACAGCCTGCGGATTGAGGTCTTGGCACCTTCAGATGTTTATTTGTGTTGGCACATAGACTTCCAGTGTTAACCTCTGGTCTCTGCACAGTAAGAAGCAGGTGAGGTGACATCATGTTCAGCCAGGCCAGTTATTTGCAACAAGTCCCATTTCCTTACAGAACTCATGTTATCCAAATGATTTTGAGAGAGTCATTGTTCCTGATCATCCCATCTGATGTAAAATTGCACTCAGATTTGCAAGTGAAGGACAACAGTCCCTTCAAAGTATCATGTGTTGTTTTGCTGAGGATCCACATTTGTCACATTTCTTTTTTCCTTTAAGGTATAATCAAACTCTTAAGATTTTAAAGTTAATGCTTTTAGAAAGAGACATATTTCTGAGTGACTTTTTAAAACTAGTCCTTACAACCTTATATACAATCAGCATCTATTGCCATCTTGAGTGTAAAGCTAATAAGCAACAGAAATAATGATGCAGAAATTATACAAAAAGATCGTGTTGTAAAGCATGATAGTAGAGGCTGGAAAATACATAAAGGTAGTATGAATGAAAACTCTTAAAGGAAGAATTTAATTCCATAAATTTGCTGTTTACCAGTATATTGTTTTAAAAATAAAGATAATATGATAGATAAGCTATAAAGTTCCTGTACAGTATGGAAAATTTGCAAGACATCAAAATAGTAACTTTTCAAGTAAGAACAAAAAGTTCCTTTGATTGTGTGTATAACCCATTTTTGAAACAAGTCCCTATATAAGAAAATGAAACTTTGAGAATGTCACTGAGCATCACTATAGTATTGTTTTCAAGCATTGCAGAAGTATTTTCTTATAAACATTATGGCTACATTATAAACTCCATTATTACATATGTCTAGGTAGAAACTGTTTTCTGGATTGTCCTTACTGATATCCAAGAAAATACAAAACTAAATTCCTAATAACCATGAAAGTAAACAGGTATTTTGAAACAGGTATTTTGAAACAAAATCACCATTTTTCTCTGGACCTCTCAACAGATCAGAAGGATAAAGCAGAGAGCAGGAGTATGAATTCATTAGGAGAGAACAAAGAGACAGCCAGACAGAAGATTCATATTACTTCATAGAGAATCAGTAGCAGAAAGGGGAAGACATTTGGAGAACAATATAAAGAGAGAGGACTGTGGAAAAAAGTGTGGCTTCCTGCAGGGGTCGGATCTTTCCAGCAAGGACTGGCTCTGCTGAGGCCCCAGAAGGACATAAACCTGACAGGAGTTTTGGTGATAAGTTTGACAAGGTGCACAGTAAATAGTGAGAAAAGCTGAAAGGTGGTAAGGGTCTCTTTGGAAAAATATTGGGAATCACCAACCTCAGAACTTGAATCTTCCTTTTCAAAATAAATATGAAATTTTATATATGAGAAGAATCTGATGAGCAGGTTTGTTTTGTAATAAAAACTCCAAAATTGAATTGGTGAACAATCTGGAGCCTGAAAATCAACCTCTGCCTACATGCAATTGTTAATCACTCTCTTACCTCCTCAGTTTCAGTGTTTATGTAGCAGTAGTCTTGGATTTGGACTGCTGCTTTAAATTAAGTGGTTGTTGAGTGTTTAATAAATATTTGGATTTAAAAAGTGTCAGTAAAATCTGAATTATGTCAAAATACTGCAAACTTTCTCACTCCCCTGCACTGGTGTACAAGTAGGTTTATGAACATTAAAGTGTTTGGATTCAGCAGTCATGAAATTACATCCAAAATGTAGTTTTTTCTTTTTTTAATATTTCCATTAACTTGTCAATTACCATACTTGGGGTAGTAAACAACATTTTAGCATATTGATGTTTATAAACTGCAAAGCAAAAAATTCAGACTCAAATCTTTAGAGACAAGGAAATAGATCTCAATGTCTGACACAAATTCTGATGTACAAAAATCAGAATGTCAAAAATGAGATTCTGTAACATAAAATAATGTGTTGAAACATAGAAGGAGTATTCATTTTTGTTCACAAAGCATCCATAGTAAAGAACAGTGATTTATATTTGCACCAGAATGGATTAGCATAGTAACTCAGCTGGGTGGGACTGTAGTGAACATCGCCTCAGTCAAAGGGAAGGAAGGTGTTTGAAAGAGCCACTTTGTCAAGCAGAGATCAGTAGGAATTGTGGGTGCTCAGGGAACCCAGTTTTTCCTAGCTTGGGCTTGAGAAGCCACAGCCAGGATCAACATCCATATGCTCTTGTGCAAACAGATTGATAAATACTGCTTGCTGAGCCAGATAGATATATGTGGAAAGGCAATACCAACTATGAAAGTTTTTAGAAAATTCTGGAAGTAATACAAATATAAATAAGTAAAGCATTTTTAGTAATAATATCTTTATGAAACGTTTTTTTCATCATTGGTTGTGGCAAAGAAGCTGCATTTCACAGAAGAAAGTGAAATGGAAATTTGCTAGCAAACCCCAAATTAATAGAGGTATTACAGCCTGGAAAGGTGTACAAAAAAATCACACGTACTAATTGTTGATGAATGCAGCTGATGTTAAAATGTTTCCTTTTAACATTGAAAATAACCAATGAAAGAAACGTTGTAACAGCCAGATTTTAAAAATTAATTCTGTCTTGCAAAGCACTATGAAATCAACTCCAAGTAACAACTAGAGTGACCTGTATTCCCTCTTTAAATGGAACTAGAAACAGGCAGTAGTTGCAAAATGCCGTTATACATTTGGTTTCTGACTGTCAGCAAATAATTATGAACTAGAGCAAATATTTTTGTTATTAGTAACCAACCTGAATGGAGCACTTTCTGGCTTGAGCAAATGCAAGAGGAGGCAAGCAGCCACCATGGGGCACCCTGCGACAGGTTACAGCAGGAATGGGAAGGTGGGACCATGCTCACGGCTGATACTGAAGCTCAGACATTTCTGCACATCTAGTCAGAAATTTTGTTCTCTCAAATACCATTCATGCTATCAACCCCTTCTTTGTTGTTCCTAAAAAGTTCTTCCTCAGCTGCCATAATTCCACGTACAGACAATTTGTATTAATTGTTGCACTGGGTAAATAGGCAGCAAAGTATCTGCAATCCTTAGACATATTCAGCCAATTGGAATTGTTTGTGGAGGCATGTGTAGGTAAACTGTTAGAAAATAGTGTTTATGGGGTCACATACCTCATATTTCTACACACTGACATTAACACAGCACACTACTATTTACACTACTATTCAATAGAAATTTTTCATAGGCAAATTCAATAAAAGTTCTTGGGATTTGGCATTACCTTTCTAAATTACATACTGGCATCCCTTCCTGCACCCTTATCAATGAAGAATTAGTATTTGGCTTTCTAAGAATAATTCCAGAGCAAAGGGCACTTTCAGGATTCAGAACAAGGCCATTGGAAATTTTATATCAGCTTTTTCTTCCTTGTTATTACAAAGTGATCATAATTGGAAAATCTCTCTCTTTATGGCTTCTGCTACATGAGACC